GCAATTTCTCCATGATATAGCTGTTTGTTCTTTTGGCAGTCCATGGGATCTTCAGCACTTTGCTCCAACATCATGGTTCAAAGGCATCAATTTGTTTTGGCTTCTAAACATGACAGTGCAATTTCCAGGGTCTCTTAGAATATCCATTTGATATTTACTTTCTCTTTTTTCTTAGGGAACTTATGTTCTCTTCATGGATGATATCCTTCATCTCTCTCAAAAATCACCTGGTTTTCAACGACTGGTGTTCAATGCTTCAAACCTATTCTAAAGATTATTTTTAAAATACAGGTCAGATGGACTCAAGATAATATTTTGGTTCTCATGGGCTTGTTTTGATTTTGTTCAGTTTCAAATTTAACTTGTACATGAGTAACTGACAGTCAGCAATTGGACTGAATTGGGAGATATTGGAGAGCATTATGCTTAGTGAACTAACTCAGTCTCCTAATGATAAATACTGTATAAGACCATTATTATAGAAATGGAAATATAACAAGTAAAATATGTCTGAGGATCCGAGGGGAGGGGGAGCAAAAGGGTGAGGACTGGGGGAGAGGTCACACAATGTGATGGGTAGAAGGAGGGGTGGGTAAAGGAAAAGGGAAAGATCCAGTATGAGAAACAATGTACATGAACTTTGCAAGTAAACCAGTATAAAAAAATTATTAAAAAAAAAGAACATGGAAGGAGTACACAGTCATTGTATCAACAATTGCTGACATTGAAGAATTTCATCAAACAACATATGCCCAAGAGGCAGTAGTGATGAAGGAGGAAGTTCAAGCTTCTCTGAAACAATTAGCCAAAAATTTGGCCCCAGGAATTAATGAAATACAAATTGACATATTTCAACAAACAGCTGCTGCCCTGGATGTGCTCACCAGGTTGTGTCAAGAATTCTAGAGGACAACTACCTGGCGAACTGACTGGAAGAGATCTATATTTACTTTCATTCCAAAAAACGATGACCTGAAAAAGGGTGGAAATTATTGAAAAACATCACTAATATCACATGCAAGCAAAATCCTGCTAAAGAGTATCCTAAACAAACAGTACATCAACAGAGAACTACAAGAAGAGGCTGTGGCACTAGGGACATTATAGCCAATGTCAGATGGATCCTGGCTGAAAGCAAACAGTACCAAAAGAATGTTTGTCTATGCGTCCTTAACTATGCAAAGGCATTTGACTGTGTGGATCATAACACATTGTGGCTTAACTTTAGAAGAATGGGAATCCCAGAACACTTGATTGTGCTTACGTGAAACCTATACTTGGACCAAGAAGCAGTAGTCAGAATAACACAAGGAAAGGCTGCACGGTTCAAAATCAGGAAGGGAATGCATCAGAGATGCATCCTGTCTCTATACTTCTCAATCTGTATGCAGAACAGATCATCTGGGAGGCTAGACTTTATGAGGAAGAATAGGGCATCAAGATCAGAGGAAGACTCACCAAAAACCTGTGATATGCAGATGACACAACCTTGCTTGCCAAAACAGGAGAACATGAAGTGTTTGCTACAGATGGTCAAGGACTATAGTTTTTAATATGGATTGAAAATAAATATCAAGAAGACTAATATTCTCACCATGGGCCCAATTAGCAGCACTATGATAGATGGAGAAGAGACTAAGGCTGTTAACAATTTCACCTTGCTCAGCTCCATAATAATTGCACCAGTAATTAGGAAACCAAAAGATGAACTACCTTGGCGAAGTATATTGTCAGAGATTTCTCCAAAGTGCTAATGAGTAATGATGTCAGTCTAGGGACTAAGGTGGGCCTGATCCAGGCATAGTCTTTGAAATTACTTCCTATGTATCAACACAGAGCTGGACAAAGACTAAGGATGACAGAAGAAGAATTGATGACTTTGAGCTGTGGTGCTGGAGAAGAGTATTGAACATACCATATACCACCAAGAAAACAAATAGGTCTGTTTTTGAGCAAGTGAAACCACATTTTTTTCCCTTGGAGTCACGGATTTTTAAGCCATCTCACGTATTTTGGGCATATGGTCATGATGGACCAGTTCTTGGAGAAGAACATCATGCTTGAAAGAATGAAGGGGCAGTGCAAGAGAAGAAGAAACCAGATGAGATGTACTTTCTTTATAAAAGAAAGTACAAAACACTACTGCAAGAAACATGAGATGGATTGACACAGTAACTGGGGCTATGGGGTAGGTTTGTCAGAGTCCGTGAGACTGGCTCAGGACAGGGCAGGGTTCAGAGCTATTGTACATAAGGTCGCTATGAGTCACAGATTACTTGATGATACATAGCAATGACAACAATATACATGCAGGTGGAGAATTGCAAATCTGGATTTAAATCTGATATATTCGACTCGTTGGCACATAACAAACAACAACAACATATTTGACTCAAGAACCCAGCTTCCTAATCACTACATTGTATTGCCATTTTCTATCAAAAGATGAAGGAGAAAGGACCTCTGGACTTGACATTTCAGAACACTAACAGACACAGTGAATATGTTTCAAAAGGTTACACACTGAATGGGTAGCAACAACGTCATGAAAGCAAGTATAAAATGTATGTACAGGAAAAGAAAGGAGAGACTAACTAGCTCTAAGCATTAAGTTTTTGGTTTTTTTAACCTTAATGAGAAGATTTAAGTATGGAGGTTGAAAAATTATGACAGTAATTCAATTCCAGGTCTATCTCTATACAGAAAGTTTTATAGCAACAGCCACATTCATTCACTTCTATATCAGTTAGGGTTGTATTTGCATAGGGTGTATTTGTAGTTGTGTCATGTAGCCGCAACAGAAATTATGTGGGTTACAAAGACTAAAATATTTAGTGTCTGACCCTTTGTAGAAAATGTTTGCTAACTCCTGCTTATGAGTAGGAAAAAAGGAATTAAGAGCACAGTCTTATGAAAATTTGTCCTATGCAAAGTCAAAAGGGAAAACCCATACATGAATAGTTAAGAGATTTCAATTTTCATTAAAATAAAGTCCTTCGGTGCTACTTGGGAATGATTACTAGCTAAGGGATTGGCAAGGTAGGAGAAAGAGCCATAGAGGAACTTACTCTTTCTCTCTCCAGATCCTAGGAAACAGCATGTTAAATATCCCTAAAGCAGCTAAAAAGATAAAAATCTGCAAACTACTCATCATAATGTCCTAGGAAATCCCTAAAGTAAAAAGGTAGTACTAAACCTACTACAATAATAACTCGAATAATTCAGAATGATGCCACTCATGCAGAATTAAACAACCACATATGCCTCCTGTGGACACTTATCTCTGCATTGAGCAGAGCAACTTTTCAGAATTAACATTAAAGGTTGGGTAAGTAATCTTTTCAGATAGGCAAAATCACTTCTAAATGAGGGAGGTAGTTGGAAGATAAATGGTTTGAAAAAAACCAACCCAATAACAAGTCTGCATCATGGTAGCTCATAAAAGAAAAGGCCAATGTAAGATTTTAGTACCCTCATTTCATTCAATATTAAACAACAAAAACCAAGAAACAATAGAAGATCACACCATGATAGGGCAGCAGTAAAGTTTTAAAGGAAGGGAGAGGAAATCTGATTTTTAAGACATTTGTAAAGTTAAAAATATGTTAACCTTTCTCAAAACTAGTATTTGTAGCCATTTTTCTTCTTTTTTAAATCACAAAAAGTCTACTTTTATAAAGAATGAATGCATACTGTAAAATATTCAAGCTATACTGGAATATAAGAGAATAAATCTTGCCTAATAACATCACCTGAGAAAATCTTCATTAATATCTTGGTGAGCAGGCTTTTGTGAATCTCTTACTGTATATTCAGCCATATATTATCACTTTATTTAAGTGGAATTATTATTACTACAGAGACCGTTTTTATTATAGAGTCTCTTTTAAGAAAAACATTAAAATGACACCTGCACATTGTAAGAACATCAGGTAAACCATAGAAGATGGTAAAAAAATATCAGGTTTCTGATAATTTTGTTCTGCCAGTAAATTCTTCTCAAGATTCATGGATAAATTCTTTTTCTGGTGGCTTTGCAGGTAAGGAGTAGTTATACTGTCAATCCAAAAGGAGATGGTTCAAATCCATTAGTTGCACCATGAGAGAAAGATGGGCAATTTTTTCCCCATACAGAGTGTCAATTCTGACTCGACACCAGTGAATTGAGTGTTGTTATTTATATTACACTCTACAATAAAGGAGCTCTGGTGGCCTAGTGGCAAAAAGCTGCACTGCAAGCCCGAGGGCACATGATTCAAGGCCACCAGCTGCTCCATGGAAGAAGAATGGGCAGTCTCCTCTGTGTGACTAACTGCCTCTGAAAACCCACTGGAGGGTCAGCTGTGGGTCAGTTCCAACTCTACAGTACAACAAAATACACTAATGGGAGCTGGTAGTCTGTAAGGAGGTGTGATGTTAACTCAAATGCAATGCTTCTCTGGCAGTCTGAACCCACCTGCAGCTCCACTGGAGAAAGATGGGCAATCTCCTGGTGATTGACAGCCTTCTTAAAATGCACTAGATAATCAGCCACCAACAAATCTAACTTAACAGCAATGAGTTCAGTTGAATTGATACATTAAGGAACTCTGATGGTGTAGAGCTTCATGTGTTACTCTGCCTTATGTGTTACTCTGCCAATGGAAAGGTCACAGGTAAGAATCCACCACTTGCTCTAAGGTAGAAAGACGGGCAGTCTTCATTCTGCAAAGAGTTACAGTTTTGGAAACTCAATGGAGAGTTGTCATGGGTTAGAACTGACTTGATAGCAGGGGTTTAATATGTGTACATTAGTCTGAGGCACAAAATGATCAGCAACTAAAAATGTATGTTTCTCATTAGAATTTGTCTACATTTCCCTCTCTCTTCTCAGAATCGGCTTCTACTTGTTGCCAGTTTCACAAATCAGCTCTCCCTCCCTCCTGGTAATGATCCATATGATGAGGTTATCTCTCAGAAGGGTCAGCTAAATGTGAGTGGAAGAAACCTGGTTCTCTTACCTGCTGAGTGGTGCTGGTGACGATGCCCTGCTGTAGGCGATAGGCCTGCTCTTGAAGGTATTTTCTAGTCTCATGATTTCGAAGAAGATAATTTTCTATCTGAAAATAAAGTACACAATCTTTTAAGAAAGCATTTCAATTGAGTAGTGAACACAGTTCAGTGGAACACCACTGCTGAACTTAAAACAAGTGCTAACATATATAGTCTGTCCATGCCTTGACTTAAAAGAAATATGGGAGTAGGGACAGGCCAGTGTTGCCATTTATTCTTGGCATTTTGTTACAAATTTAACTTTATAGCAAATGCAGTAATTTCTTTGTCACTCAGGAGTTGACAAAGATAAGCAAATGTTTCATTGCCTCCAAGGTTACCGCCTACTCTCAGGGACTTTCATCACTCTTACACACACTGTAAATCATTCTTCCTCATTCACTTCTTAAACAACATGCCTCCAGAAACTCTATGGATTTTTGTAAAATAGTTGTAGAGGGGCTTCAGACCTTTTGTTCATAGGGTCACCATGAGTCATGTGTAACTGAAAGGCAATCAACAACAACTAGAAGGGGGAGCTCTGGTGGTCTAGTGGTAAGAAGCTGCACTACAATCCTAAAGGCATATGGTTCAAATCTACCAGCTGCTCTGCTGGAGAAGGATAGTCAATCTCCTCCTGTGCGAGGAACTGCCTTTGAAAACCTGCGGAGAGTCAGCTATCTCAATGGCACACAACGGCAGCAATAAACAATTCAGAGGGAGCTGTGGTGGCCTAGTGGTAAGAAACTACTTTGGTTAAGGATGCCTAATAAATGTGAACTCTCAATACTATTAATTTTCACTTTCCATATGCTAAAATGACTGCTCCTTAATATCAATTAGGAACAATTAAAATACAGTCTGTAATTATGATCATCACTAAGAATTATAAAGCAGAACAAAATGTGCTTTTCTACCAAATATAGATGAAGAAATTAGAAAAAAACAAAAAGATCCCTTAAATGAAACTTCAGTAAAGTGACATGTTAATGTCATGACATTACATTACATTAACTTTCTCTTGCTGTTTCCCAAGAAGCAATCTCTTCCCAAGGTGACTTTGCTATCAATGTAAAATGCCTTTCCTAGAAAGACCTTTGCCTTATAATATTAAAGGCGGACACTGCTGCCTGGCTTTAGGTCCCTCGGTTTTATTATTTGTTCTTTTACATTTGTGGGCTATTGCAGGTTCTGAGAGATGGTTGTTTATTCAGGCGGCTTTCAGCTCAGGCACAAAAGGTGTACCCATGGTTGGCCCACACATTAAAGACCTTTTCCCAGTTCACCAAGCTTCAGACTAAACCTGGAAGGAATTTGTTAGAAAAACACTATTTAAGATCCTTACTGAAAAACAGCTCAGGAGGAAGGAAAAAAATAACATTTTTCAAATGTCTTTATTATCAGTTAAGCACACACTACCACTGAAATTATTTTTATCTTGGATAAACAAGATAAACCTTCCTTCCCTAAGTCATTATTGACCAGTGGCAGTGAACTTACTTTCTGGATGTTGACCCTTAGAGTCAAAGCAAGATCAATTGGAAAGAAAAGAGCCAAAAAGGTTATAATAAGCTTCCTCAGCATCACTAGGTCATAGGGAAAGATCTGAGTGAAATGCCAGAACAAGTTCCACTGCCATCCAGTTGATTCTGACTCATGCCCAGTTGTTCTTACTGTTATGTGCTGTAGAGTCATGTGCAACTCATAGTGACCCTATGAACAACAGCTCTGACCCTTACCTATCCTCACTTATCTCTGCTACACCTGCTCCCATTCCTCCAGTCAACTGTCAATCCATCTCTCATCCAGGGTCTTCCTCTCCTGCATTGTCCATCCAAGCCTGATGTCCTTCTCAAAGGACCAGTCTCTCCAGGCAACAAGTTCAAAGTATGTGAGATGCAGCTTCAAAATCCTTGCCTCCAAAGAGCAATTTGGTTTCACCCTCTCCAGGACAATCCTATTTGTTCTCTTGGCAGTCTATGGAATGTTCAATATTTTTCTTCAGCACCACAAGTCAAAGGTGATGACTTCTTCTGTAATTGTCCAGCTCTCTGATACATAACAAGTAATCACGAAAAACATGGCCTTGATCAGGCATACCTTAGTCTTTAGTTTGATATCTTTGCTTTTTAGCACTCTGAAGAAGTCCCTGACAGTAGATTTTCCCAGTGATATTCGTCTTTTGATTTCTTGACTGCTGGTGCCAAGACTGTTGATTGTGGAACCAAGCAAGCTGAAGTTGAAAACAATTTCAATCTCTTCTCCATCTATCATGGTGCTGCCAATTGGCCCAGTGGTGAGAAATCTTTGTACAGTCCTTGATCTTCTGCAGCAAACACATCAGGTCCTCTTTAGTTCTGGCAGCAAGGTTCTGTTATCTGCATAACACAGGTGGTTAATGAGTCTTCCTCTAATTCTAATTCACATTCCTCCTCATAAAGCCCAGCCTCTTTAATGATCTGTTTCACACGTAGATTGAAAAGATATGGAGATACGAAGCATCCCTGATGTACTCCTTTCCTGATTTTGAAACATGCAGTGTTTTCTTATACTGTTCTGATGATGGCTTCCTTGTCTAAGTACAGGTTTCACATAAGCACAATCAAGTGTTCTTGGATTCCCATTTTTCTAAAGTTTAGCAATAATCTGTTGTGACCAACACAGTCAAATGCCTTTGCATGGTCAATAAAGCACAGATAGACATCCCTCAGGTACTTTGGATTTTAGCCAAAATCCATCTGACATTGGCTATGATGTCTCTAGTGCCACACACAGCCTCTTCTAAACCCAGCTTGTATTTCTGCTAATTGTCTGTCAAAGTCCTTTTATGACCCAATTTCAGCATAAGAAGAAAAAAAAAAACTTCAATATTCTAGTAAAGATACATTGTATTTCCAGGTGATTACAACTTAAAACTCTAAATGTAATTTCAAGAAGAAAGGTCACAATATTTTCTTTATTAAAATAAAAATGTTGTTGTTGTTGTTGTT